GATTCCAGCACCATCTCCTTAGGAAGGTATAGGTGAATAGATTTTGTGCTGAGTCTCATAAATTCTCTGACAAATTTGCAAGGCTGTGTGTAAATTCTGAGCCACAGAAGGAAGGAGAAGAAAAGAAAGCAATATGTGCCGTGACTGGATTCCTTATGCCACGGTATAGTTTAAGAATTAAGTATTAATATTATGCATACACTCAATTTCAGAAGTGGGTGTTGGATTTTTAGGTGTATTTGATTAAAAACAAGATTAAAAAAATTAGAGTAATTAAGTACATTAGAAAATTGTGAGGCTAAGATGGACTCTACCTCACCAACTGTTTAGAATTTTACTGTCCCTGAGAGCGTTAGAAATCCTAGTCTAATTTAGTGCTGTTCACAGTTGAACTTCATGCTATTGATCACAGAGGTCAAATGATTGACTGTTGTCCTTCAGTATCTATGAAAACAACAAAAACTACTTCTTATGCGGTGACTATTATTGGCAAAGTACAGAGCCAGAATCACTGGATAGAGTTATTTTATGAACTTTGTGAATGGAACTGTGGAATATGATTGCTGTTACTGTTCATTAGTTCAGAAGAAAGGCAAGTGGATAAGTTGCTAAATCCAGGGTTCTCCTCCCAATCTAGCTCATAAATCTTCTGTGTAGGCAGCTATTCTTATAAGGGGGAAAAATGTAGTTAACTCTCTGTTTCAGATCAGAAACGCTTCTTGCAAATTTTATGCAAGATGACTTTGAGCTGGTTGAAAACTGTAGGATTATGTCTTCTTAGACTGACAGGGTCAAATTGTGAAAAATATAGCAATATTGCAAGTATATTTTAAAAATTAACATTTAATTGCAGATCTGTTAGAGTAAGGCTGGCCAAAGGAATTAATAGCCAATAGAGAGTCCATTTTCATATGATCATCATTCTGTTGCCACGCAAGGTTCTTTTTTAAAATTGATAAATTACCTTTTTATACATTCTGCCTTTCAAGATATAAGAAAGGATTGCAGGACTTGGTTGCTAAAAAGGAATGTTAGGAATTAGTAAACCAGGTGCTTTTATAATTTAAATAATTTTAGACCATTTTTACCTTGTTTAGAAATAGACAGTAGTTAGCTCCAATTATCAAAATAATTCGATTTTTAACTGCTGTATCTCTCCAGTTTAGAGAGAAGGATGTTGTGGGGGACTGTGTCAAAGGGTTACAGAAGTCCAAATAGAAGACATCAGTAGCTCTTCTCTTGCCCACTGATGTAGTCACTCTATCATAGAAGGCCACTAGGTTGGTTAGGCAAGATTTGCCCTTCGTGAAGACTTGGTTAGTTGAGTTGCTTCGTTTGGCAAAACCAGCAGTTCAACCTATAGAAGAGCCACTTCAGAGAAAGAAAAGTCCTGACAGTCTTGTAGTCTAGAGGATAGAGCAAATTCTCAGACTAAGCAGAATTTCTGGCTGCTGTAGCCCTTGTGCCATCAGCAACCAGGAGACACTGACATATGCATGTAAGTTTAACACATAGGCACAAGGTTCCTATGTTTTTGTCCTTTGGTTGTGTATGTGTAAGCTCACACATGCTTATTACAATACACTTTGAACTATCAAAAAGAAAACACAAGTAATATAAAATACTTTCAAATTCATGTTTCATTAAATTAGTCTATGCTACATTCAATGGCTTCCTCAAAATAATATACTTTATTGCATACAATGCACATACACATAAATAATAGATTGCAGTGTGATTTATATCTATAATTGCTTTCATATAGTCCCCAAATGTAACATTTAGTCTAGAGAATGCATATATTATCTGTTGCTGGAAACATGCATATAATAATCCTGGCTTCATTTGAGTCAAAAGCAATTTTTCTCTTGATACTGGGGAGAGGGGTAGCATTTTGCCAACAGATTTCAGCATTTTGGATATAGGAAGCTCAACCACTGGTTACACGCTTGCTTAGTCCATGACTAATAGACTATAATATAATTTTTCTCCACTAATTTAGGACTCTATAGTACATTTTTAGTGGGTGCCAGCTTTATCTCATAAGTAGTGTTAAAGTTCATGGAATGAGTTACTGTCTCTTACTTCAAACCCCTTGGTGTAAGGAAACCAGAATAAATGGACAAGCAGTTGATATCCTCCTGGCTTTCCACTGTTGTTCTAAAAACTTGGACAGAGCTCTGCATTTTGAACAGTTACTGATGATCCAAACTCAATCATTTCTTACAGAATATATAATAAAACACCAGCACCTAAGTTAGGTGAATAAGTAAACTTCCTCAGTAACCTTTCCTTCAGATTTTCTGAGAAGTGTATTGTTGTTTCTCTGAGGTAACTTTTCTGAATGAAATAACATTGTGAGCGGCCAAGCAATAATTTTAAACATGACTCTGAGAAGCACCTATATTGCAGCTTGCTCTATCAAGCAATAAGGGTCCTATCTTTCTCCAGGGAAGTGTGAGACAGGTCTTTCATTCTTTCCCCTCTACTCTCTCATCTCTCACTCCTGTGAAAATACCACCGCCTTGATCAAGGCTCAAAGCCTGTACTTTTGGATGTATTTTTGAGCCTTCAACTTTTGAAGTGCGTCTTCAGGTCACATCCAGTCCTTGTGATTCATATTTTGAAATCTCTCAAAGACATGGCCTTAAACCTCCAGCCACACAACTAAATCTCTTGCTCAAGCCTTAGTTATTTTGCAGCTTGAGCAGTTCTTACCTTTGCTAGGTCAGAGCTACCCAGCTGCACTCACGTTGTACCCATGGCGATTCCAGACACAGCAACTCTCCCACTCCTGCATGCTCCCTTCTCTACCCTTCCCCTGTCCTCGCTGTTTCTCCCCTACAGCAAACATGAGGGTTTTTCCCATTGGCATATAAAGCCATTTATATTTTAGCTTTGATTGGTCTTTTGACCAATTGGTCTTTTGACGGGCCTTTTGGCTCTACTGCTTATCAAATGTTCATTCATGTTTGTCATATCCAGCCCAGCTAATAGTAGACTGGGAGTTGATTCATTTTAAGCATTGAGAATCTCGAACATCTTCTTCTCCCACTTCCACCTCAAAAGTCATCTCCCTCATTTTCTCTGTTAGACGGCATCATATGTGTAGCCAGCATTAATTCTAGCTTGTGTGTGAGTACGTGTTGTGTGTACGCAGCTATACATACACACGCCACTTACCTGATCCTGACTCTTACCTCTAGATACCTCAACAACACACACAGTACAAACAAAACATACAGTGTTGAGTCCACGCAGGTTATGTATGCAAGTGTGCGTGCAGGCATATATTTACACAAAGGAGGAAGCATTTAGTATTTCTCAGCAGACAGAGTTCAAGCTGTAGGGGAGAGAGATGATTATGATGATGAAGTCTTATGATGATGATTAAGTTTTATGATTAAAGCACTGCCAGATCTCTCACTGTCTGCCTAGTTCTCACATGGGTGTCTGGAAGAGAGCACATTCCTGACTCAGAAGGTTGCTTTGAGGGTATGTTGTTAGTAAGTGGTCAGATACTGCTGAGATGGAGGCTACAGAAACAAGTAATAAAGAGTGATTTTAAACAACAGCATGATCCTTCCCTCAAAAGACAATACAGGTTCCTGCACATGGAACCCAAATAGAAATGGTCTGAGTAACATGGTTAAAACCAGAAAGTATTAGATACCAGTTATCCCTGGTACTGACTACACTGGCTTTCCGAAAGGCCTATGGAGCAGATTTTCAGGAGAGCAGTGGTTTTCCTCTGGTATGGCTCCTCATTTTTCGTTCTGCTTGTTTTGGTGGTCTGTTGAGAAGCATCCTAGTCGCAGAGTAAAGGACATTTTCTGTGTAATGATACAGGCATAACGATACCAACAGCTTGTAACTACTCCACGTGCAGCTGTTGTCAGGAGGGAGAGGTTAAGTGGCATCTGCTGCATGCCGGGTGGAGAGTGAGAGCAGAAGGGTCAGAGAGAGAAGGCAAGCACGCGTACCCATCCATGCCGGTGAGCAGGGGAAAGGCAAAGTGCTAAGCCACAGACTTAGAAAGTCAGAACTAGAGAACTGAAGAGCTGTTTCCTATTTTACAAGTAGACACCTCATGGGATTTTACCCCTGGCTGAAACCTATTTATATTTTTTGATATTTTTGCCAGGCTGAAAACCCCCATGTTCCTGATCCTTTGTACGCCAGGCTGTGATGCAAAGAGGTGCAGACTGAATGGCTGTGCGCTTTCACATATATTCTGTTTTCCCCTCTGCTGTAACCTGTGGCCTCAGCCCACTCAGCTGTGTTACACAGTGGTTTCGTCTCTGTGTAGACCAGCGATTTTCTTTTTTTTTTTTTTTTTCAGGACCTATAAACAGAAATAAAACTAATGCTGACTTTAGGCTTGGCTTTGTGGATGGCCTTATTTAGAGAGTCAAAATTCCCAGTAGAATGCAGATCTCCAGCCAGGTGCTGTAAGGTGAATTAATATACAAAGGTGGACTGAAATTGGGGGAAAGAGAAAAGGACTAGAGTTTACAGCGCTGGCTGCGGCTTGTGAAAGAGAGTTCAATTTACTGTTTGTGAGTTGTGTAATCTCACTAGTCCATGATAAATATTCCATATTTAGTATCTGAAAAAATAACAGCAAAGGAAGCAATGGTGATTTAGTGGATAGATTGTCTCTTTGAAAACATACTTCTGCTTTGTAATGCAGTAACTTGCTTGAAAATCCAAATACATATGCACTTCTTCTGTACACATGAAATTACATATATGTATGTACCTGTATAGACTCATATATATAGTCATATACTTGGTGTTGCGAATGTGTATGGCATATAGATGGAAACTTAGTGTATCTAAGCTTATCTATATACGTGTCTGTGGGTGTATAAACGCGATACATGTATCTATATTTTTTGCTACTGTGTTAACACACATACATGGAAATGATCACCAATGATGATTTTCATGAGTCAAGTGCTTACATGTTTAAGCAACTTCTTTTCTGATGCATTTAGCAGCAGCAACAGAAGAACCTGAGGTGATTCCGGATCCGGCTAAGCAAACAGATCGAGTGGTGAAAATAGCAGGAATAAGTGCTGGAATTCTGGTATTCATCCTGCTTCTCCTTGTGGTCATATTGATCGTCAAAAAAAGGTAAGAAAATTATCTGTGCTGATCCCTCTTTTTTTTTTTCTCTCTATTTCAAACAACAATAACTAAATGGGTATTTTTTACAGGTCATTACAAAAAAAAAAGTTTCAGGACCAGTAGTTCACATCAGCTTTTGGATGACTTTTGTGTTTCCTGTTGTTTTTGCTGTGATTCTTATGATGGATTTAAAGAGAGGATTACTTTATATTTGGGATCCCATAGCTATACATTTTCTCATACTTACTTATTTCCAAGTAGTTTTAAGTTGCAGTTAAGAGTAATGTACAGAATATTAAAGTGGGTGGGATTGAAATTCATGGAGCCTTTTTTTTAAAGAAAAGCAAAAAAAAAAAAGAATAACTTACTGCACTTTTCATGTTGTAATCACCTAATGAATTTGATTTTCTATAGGCAGCTCTAATGAGTTACTTGTATCTGTACGTTATCCAACTTGGAAAATAATGTCATTTTATACCTCTGTCTATGGTCTTGTAAACCTGGAGATTTTTCTTAAAAGTCATACCACATCACTGTAAAATTATCTAGTGAGTCCTTAGTGCATGAAATCGTTTAAAAGTGTATTAATTTGAATGAATTTTGTTAGCGCTTTCTTAGACAGTAAACAATATCGCCATCTTCTGGCATTGTACAATGCTAACTCCGTATCCA